TGGTCGAGAAAAAAGAGACATTGCAGCTGCTCTCCGATAATACGGATCACTGCATCGAATTTATGCAGAATGCCCTTGAAAAGGGCAGCGATTTTGCCATATTATCGAGTAAAAAATCACTTGTGCGACATCTGCAGAAGCTAAAATGTCAGCGTGCCGACATCCCGAACCCAGAGATTCCTGTGCGTATTCAAGTGCAACTAAATCAGGTCGCTGAACTGCAAAAGGTCATCTCGCAACTGGGCATTGTAATAGTCGATGGCAAACCATATCCGCCGGCACCAGCACCCACCCAAAACGGGCCGCAACCACCGCCACCACGTCAGCCACCTAGCCCAAATATGGCACCACCATTACGTCCGGGCCTGCCTCCGGGCATGACAGCTGGCCTTTCTCCCAATGGGCCACCAGGTGCCTTTGGACCACAGAACGGACCCCCCATGTACAGCAATGCAGCTGCGCAACAGCAATTCAACAATCTGTCAATGAGTCGCTCCTTTCCAGGCGATGGGTCAGGTAAGGATATGCTCTAATTAACTTTATCTTAAGTAATCTTCATTTTTTTAACAAATTGGTACCATGATTACTTTCTGTATGTTTAATTATAGTTCGGTTTGGTGGTATGCCACCTGTAGGCATGCAGCGTCAGGGTCAACCACATGTCAGCTCCTCTACACATCCGCAAAATATGGGTTAGTTGGACATGTAAAGTAAAGTTTATTTAATTTATACTGTTTCATACTTCAAATAGATATCAGCTTGCGTGGATTGTTAAACAATCAGGCTGCACAGAGTCCTAATGCTCATTTGGCTTTTAATGGGCCGCCTAGCTATCCAGGCGGTCCACAGGGTGCACCCTCACCGGCGCACCAGCAATCGTTGCCACCGATGCGGCCACATTTCATGCCTGGCCAACAGAGTTTCGGGCAAGGTGGCGGCCCAGGCGGCGGGCCCAGAGACAACAGCAGTTTCATGAACAGCAATGCACGCTTCCAGTCGCAGTACCAGCGCATGGCCAGTCATGCTCAACAGCAAGCGGCAGCAGCAGCTATGGCCAGCGCAAGTGCTGGAGGTGGCGGACAGATACCTTCTCCTGGCGCACTACAACGACCACCAATGATGCCCAATCCCATGCAGAATGTAAGCAAAATCAGTCAGTTCATAAATTATTTAAAAAAATTAATAATGGATATTGGTTTTATTAACAGGCTTTGGGGTTTCATGGGAGCCAGGCTGGCTTTAACGCTGGGCCCCCACAAACCTCGCCGCAGCTGAGTAGCGCTATGCACAGTCTCGCCAAGTGGCATATACCACAATCCGCGCAGCAATCAAGCAGTGAGTGTTATTAATAACAAATCCATACCACACGATTAACAATTGAATATGTTTCAGTGTGCCAGCAGCAAGGACCGCTGTTACCATTTGCTAATGGCCGTCAGACTTCGGAAAATTTTAAAATCTCATTAAAATCGCCAAATACTCTAAAGAATAGCACACCGCCCAGCCTAAACATTGGTGGGCCTGCTTTGCCAGGCTTAAACAATGGCTCGTCCACTGCCAACACAATAGCGCAGTTAAATGCAGCTGCTCTTGGTCTCGGCCCGGCGGTTTCCATACTCTCAAATGTCACATCGACAAATCCAAAGACACCCAGCCCTAGCACTCATGAGGTGAGATACTTAATGCATAATGGTATATAGTTTGATGACTTGATTGGCCTTTTGTCACCTAGAACACCAAGGACTTTACCGAACCTATTGACAAGGTGCGTGATGACTCCATAAATGATTTGATTGCCACCATTGCTAAATTGGACTCGAATGGAGTGCAAGTTCTGCCAGAAGGACGCACCAAAACCACCTCACCGCAGGTACACAGTTCGACGGATTTATCCAATACCCAGGAAGGTGAGTACCATTTACTTAAAGCTGATTTCGCTTCGGTCTAGGCTAATTCTATGGGTTGTGGGTGTGTGAGTGTTTAATATCTCTCAAAAATTAACAATTCAATCCTTAATAAATTAAAAGAAAATATATAATGCAAATAATTGGTTATGTGTACAGAAAACATTTACCAAAGTATTTGTTTCTTTACATATTATTAAAAAGAGAAAAACTGGAAATATGGTGTGAATTCCTATTCTGCTAACTAATATATGTTTATTAAAGAGTTTAAACGTTATCTCTTATACTTTTGAGTTAATATTTGAACGTGTGTGAGCAACAACCTGGTTATTTCAAACTTTCACTATTAAGCATTGTATTTCATAGTTTTATATTTAACATTACTTTGCTGGTTTTAAATCGATTTTATTCAATTCTCATGTAACTTTGCTTTGTTTATTTCTATTTTCAAAACTGCAAAACTCGATTTCTGAAACCAAAACAAAAACCAAAAATAAAAACAAATTTAAACGCGCAATAAACCGTACAAATCAATTACTAACCCATAAACTATTATGTTCAACAATTCAAAATGAAACCAAACGAATCAAATCAAACCACAAACAAATCAACACGAAACAAATACACATACACAAAAACATACACACACCCATACACACTCATCGTACACGAATGCAAACATAAAACTAATCATATCAGTTAATAATAAAAATGAACAAAAAGACGACCCCAACGAGGATTGGTGTGCCGTATGCCTGGATGGCGGTGAATTGATGTGCTGCGACAAATGCCCAAAAGTATTCCATCAGAACTGTCATATACCCGCGATTAGCTCGCTACCGGACGAGAGCGAGAGCTGGCAATGTTTGTTGTGTGTCAATCTCAAAGAGCTCACCAAAGTTGAGGGTAACGAAAAGCCGCAACCGGGGGAACTGAGCAGCGTAGAGTTGAGAATACTACAGCGCATATGTCTGGAGCTGTACTGTCAGTATGAACAGAGTCTTAATTTCCGTGAGCCGGAATCTCCGGCTAACTCGCAGTACTATGAGATTATTTGCAAGTAAGTCCCTAAAAACGGTATGTGTGAATCATATGTTGACCTTATGTTGTCGCCGTAGCCCCATGTCGTTAGATGTTATTCGCACGCGCTTAGATCCTTCCAGCCCCAATCACTACAAGGATATAGCTGGCTTTGTGTCCGATGTTCGACTTATCTTTAAGAATACTTACCTCTTTTATCAGGTGAGTGAATTGTGTTTTCGTCGGCCTTCGATCAGTTTTATAAATTTGTGCTTGCATTGCTTTCACACAGGAGGATTCGAAAACGTATAGCAATGCCAAGTATTTGGAAAACTTTTTTGAAGAGCAACTAGCCAAATGGCTGCCTAACTTTGTCAGTAAGAACGGTAGTTCGACTTCCAACTCGCCTAGCTTACCGGCGACGGCTGCTGCTGGGTCTCCGGCGCCAGTTGAAAACGGTCGGAAGAGCTGCAGCTCTGCCTCGCTGGCAGACAGCGAAGATGCTTGCTTGCCGGCCAAGCGGTTGCGTCGCTCTGCGCATGAATAGAACGAGCTTTTGCCCGATGACAAGGGCACGGAGAAGCAGCCGCAGCCAGAGGATAAAGAAGAGGACGATAAAGAAAAGCAGCCTGACGAAAAGGGGGAGGAGGAAGAACAGAAGCACTCAGAACAAAATCAAAAGCAGCCGGAAGGTGAACAGACTCTGTCAGAAAAAGAAGCTGAGAAAAGAGAAGAACCGTACTTAGCGGATCTGGAATTGGATTTAGTACAGCGCCCCCGTAGTTTGGGCAGTAATGTAATACAGGAGAGCGCCGATTATGTTCTTCAACTTCTACATGCGTATGCCGCAGCTTTCGGACTGTAGAGCGTTCTATTGAGTGATTGATGAAGGAACATATCCGTACACACTCGCAACTAATAAGTCCAACATTGTTGTAAATTATGAATGGCACTAAACAATTACATATGCTATATGAGTAAAAAAGAATAACCAAGAATTTTGTAGCTGGTGTACAATTAGTTTTTAATTAATCAACTGTAAATAAGCAAGTCATTTGATATGATTTATGAATTCATAATGCAAGAATAAATTTGATGGTCGGTAGTTAAGTCATGTGCAGATATGTTTTAGCTAAAGTATTAAGTGTTAAATATATATAGGTAAACAGATATACCACGTAGAGATTAAATCCTAGTTTAAGTTTACTCCAAATCCACTGCATAATTTAAGAGTGCTCCAAACTCTATCCTCTAACCACATATATATGTTAGAGTTGTATTTACTTTTGTGATAGCAAAAAAAAACAATAACAAATGAAAATGAACAAATTAAATTCTAATATGTATAATAAATACAGCATCCGAACTCATTTTAACATTTTACTTTCGAATTTGCTATGTACGATATTTATTGCCTATTGTTCCGATAATATATTTATCCATATATATACATATATATATATATATATATCCATACATATATAAATATATGTGTATAACCTAAGCCTTTCTCAAACTTTTTTTTCACTCACCCTCATTTGCAGAACGACAAACATTCGTATACCATATAAGAAGACATTTGTAATAAGTTGAAATTAGAGAACTAAGTTTGAATGAATGAAACCCACAATATGAATAAACGATATATACACAAATATATATTATTAAAACATAGATCTTTTAATGTTGTACGTTTGACGTTTTAGTTTAAGTATACCATATAAAGCCGATCAAGCATACAGCCAATCAGTCTACTAGTAATATCCATTAGAGCCATAATTAAACAGTACTCCATAATGAAATAAGGTCAATGCACAATATGTATGCATTGGTATTGGTGTGTATATAGTACATACATATATGGCAAAACTATTTATAATTACTTCCAACTCAACTAACCAGTCAAATGCTGTGGACAAAAACTAGTGTTTTTATTTTACATACATATGTATACTTGTACGACATGAAATTAAAACTGAAATAAAACTCAATTCGCAATACTGCGAATATTTTTATAAATATTTTAACTACTTGAAAAGAAAAGTAAAAGAATATCTTCTAACCGATCTAATCAAATCACAATAATATTAAAGCAGAATCCTAATGATGTCACACAATGAAAACAATAAAATAGAAAAACATACAAATCAAATTATATAGATGTACTATCTACTATAGATATATAAGATATATATGTATATGTATGTATTAATAGAGGAACATGAATGTGTGCTATCCTATCAAAATTGAAGCAAACAAATGAAAGTGAAATGATACCCAGGCAAAAGCCTAACTATGTTTATATGTTGAATGTGAAAACCCTAGAAATTATAATATATCTGTTTTAGCTGTAAGTTTTACTATAAATATCTAAAGCAAATTAAGAAATTACATACTGAATGTACTACTTATTATCAAGTGGATTTTTTAATAAAAGAAAAAAGCCAACATTCCATTTCGATTCTCATTCTTAATCTATCATATTCCAAAGAAGCCATCGTCCCGCATGTATTGCTCGTCCAGATGCTTGTATGGCTACAGCAGAAATCTCTCATCAATCAGTGTCTTGCGAGAGACATTGCGACGCACCCAATTTTTAAAGATGTGACGCATAAGCTGCAATGATTGATGGAAAGCTCTCGGAATTGCCCATGCATTAAAATTTATATGTTTTTTGACTCACCATATTCAGGGCGCAGGCTATAGCGGCGCCTAGCAGCAGACTGGAGGTCAGCAAATAGATGGAGAGGAGCACAAGTATCTCCAGTATAAATATATGTAAATGGTTGCCCAATAGCAGAACGCGACTAAAGCTCAGCGCATCGTCGATGTAAAAGGTTCCCTTATCTATAAGATATATATATATAAATATGAAATCCACAATTCCCTATAGCGCTTGCATAACTCACTTTCCGTTAGATAGTTTTCAATTTCACAGTTGAATAACTTTTCCGTCAATGTCTTTTCCTTAATGATATAATCCATGTCCTTGATGGCCTGCGTTAAACTCATATTTATAGTTTTTAATTATTTTATATATATATATATATATATATATATATATATATATATATATATATTTATATTTATATAATTGTATATAAAAATATAATGTTATATAATATTATAGAAAAAAAGTTTTTATTGACATAAAAATTAAATATGGAAGCTAAAATTATTTTCTTCTCCATCTCTTCAAATTTTTCTATATTATTATATGTTTGTATTTATTTGTCAACTCACATGATCGATAAACGCACAGAAGAACCGATTAATACTGGCGTAAGCAATTGAGGTGCGCTCCACCTGGCCATCAATGCTGGATATTTGAGGATCCTTCTGATAGAGCAGCGTCTGTGACATGCTGCCATTTCGGCTACGTTGGAAGGGCAACAACAGGCGATCCAAATATGTACTAAAATTCAGGCAAACAAATAAAAAAAATTGAAAATATAAGAAGATATGGAATCTGGCAGAACCTACCGCAGATTTCGTGGCGGCAAAATGATATAGACCTGCTTGTCCGAATCAATGAGCAGTCCACGTCGGCCGCACATGTTCTGTGCCTCGCGCTGCAGCTGCAGGATCATGGAGGACATGTCCGTATCGGCGAAACCATGAGGCGAACGTCCATGTATATAGTAGCCATAGCCCGGCTCGAGTAGCGAAAATAGTGAGATGTTAGCCAGGCTGCATAGATCAACGAATTTCTGAAGTGGATTGGGTTGCAGGAGTCGAAGCAGCAGTACTTGCAACAAATATGTGACCAGATAAACGGCGCTTATCAGGCAACAGCTTAGACTTTGAAGCTGACTGAAACGTTGCAGCAGTTGATAAGTGGTGATCACAACAAAAGCTTGCGCCAAACTGGAATATCGCTGTTCACAGCTGAGCCGTATCCAGGCATTGGCCGTGAAGAGAACACGCCAAGCGGATACGCTGCTCTCGGCTACATAGGTGCGAACGCTGGAGCAGAGCGAGGAGCTGTCCAGATTGAGACGCTGACCCTCGCAGCTGCTGCGAGGTCGTTCCCAATCGATGAGGAACAGCTCCAGTTGGCTGGCGCGTCGCAAATGCACAGCCAAAAAGACGAACTGCAGCAGGCAAGCGGGATAGATGAGCAATGCCAACCGTTGAGGCACACAAGCCTGCAAGGTAAGCAAGAGAAGCGCCGTGATTAGCAGCGCCAGTGCCACATTGGCGGCCAGTTGGAGCAGCAGCTCCAGCAGATTTATGGTCTGGCATAGCTCGGCGCGGCGCCTTCGTCTCAGATTCTGTAGATGCAGCAGTGCAGCCACCAAGGCAAACAGCAGCAGCAATGGGAGAGCCAGCTCCAGCAATAGCTTAGCAGTGCCGCTCTGCTGCAGTTGCTCAAAGTGAACGCGCAGACGAAATGGATAAAGCTGTGTCAAGGATGCATTGCCCGTAATATCAATATGACGATAGCTGAGCCGCAGCAACGGCAGACCAAGCCTCCTCCCAGCCTGCATGGTATACTTCAAATCGACTCGATCCACATAGCGCAGGGAGCGGTAGAGCTGCAGTTTGTGGGCATCCTCATAAGGCGGCCAGTTGGGATGCATTCGATTATCGCGGAGATGCGCCGAAATCAGCTGAAAGCGTTTTACTAGCTGCCATTCTTCTTCCTGCGGGCGCTGCAATTAAGAAAGAGGAATTAAAAAAGGGGATAATATGAAACATTAGAAACTCTACCTGATTCTCTGGAGTAAGCGTTTCAATCAGCACAGGCAGCTGGTGCAGCAAATGTGACCAGTTGCTGCTAAAGTTGAGATAGAGATTATGGTAATTATCATTTCCCTCCCGTTTGGCCAAATCTATGAGCTGCTCCAGACTCAGCTGACAACTAAGCTCCGGCTGCTGCTGCTCTAAGTCCAATGTTGGAACCCTTTGAGCCGGGCAGAGATTCAGCTTTTCCAAGTGAAGAGGACCCCAACGCTTAAGACGTCCCGCAAGGTCGAAGGTTGTGCTAAATATTTCCAACCTCGTCTGATTAGCCAGATGGAGCGTAGTCGTAAGCAAGTCTCTCGTTGCTCTGCCCTTTTTATAGAACAGAAAGGGCTCCAGCGCCCGCAGCTGTTCGCCTGCATGAGCGTATTTGATAACCACATCTGACATCTGGGTCAGCAAAAAGGGGCTGCACGGCGAGTGCTTGTCCATGGAGTAGTGCGAGAGCACACACAGATTGGCCAACTGCTGGCAGGCACTGTCATTCCGTAGAGCCAAGCAAAAGAAGGCAACAAACTTGAGATCCCCAAAGTGAAGTCGGCTAGATGAGCCGGACTTTAATTTGATGGTGTCCTGCCAGAAGGCGTTGTAATGCAAATAAGGTTGCAACAGCGTGTTGGCTATGCAGTAGTCCTGGTAATGAAAGTTATACGCAGCATTGCAGCTATTACAGTCGCTGCTATTGCTGCCGGAATTCGCTCTGGTCAACACTATGGAACCGATAGATTGAGCCACTATTGAGCTATTTAGATATTGAAAGCTGCATTGCATGGGCGGCAACTCGGATTCTGTACAGTTCTCAAAGGGCTTTGTGGCATTGCTACAGAGCTCATTGCATGTTGGCCAACGTTTGGACTTCTCGAAAACCGAGATATGCGCAGCTGGACACTGACAGCCGAACTCTGAATGGGTTAGAAAATTAGAGAGAATAGAGAAAATATAATTGACGTAGCCTCAAGACTATAGTACATTCATTTAGTAGCCTAGATTAAAAAGATAGATCAATAATAATATTAGTATGGAAGACTTTCTTAAAAAACTTCAAAGTGATGGTGTTCTTAGTATATATCTTAATGTGAATCCAGTCAATTTCTGCTTTACTTCTTTTAATCTAACTCGAACATGCACTTTTCTACTTTACGGTAACCTCACAAAATGCAGTGTCTAGTGATTCCTACAACTTCCCCACTCTGTGGCATTGTTATTTGTTTAATCAATAGACCCACTTACTGTCTGTAGTGGGCTGCAACTCGTTTGTGGCTCCGTCTCCAGCCTCATTGCAAGGCGAGCATTGAAAATAGTTCAAATTATAGAACTCATTCCTGAGACACTTTTGGGTAGATTGAAAACGAAATGTATGTGGCGTTGGCGATTGTTTTGTATCCAAACCCGTACAGTTTCCAAATTGAATGAAAACTGTTGTCCACAACAATGGGAAGAACCAATTTACCAAAAGGAAGCACATAATATTCAAAATATATATGATAGTTCTTTCGTTTTCCGCTGCGGGCCCAACGAATCCCAAATGAGAACTGAATTAAAGTTGCAATTGCGGTTGCAGGTTGGCAAGTAAACAAGTTCTTATTGGAGTGGGTTCATATCCTTTATTGTTTGTCAAAAGTTGCTATAGCTACTCAACCCCCACGTAAAATGCTTCGTACACCTGTTTCAGGTGGTGGTGGGACTCTTTGGTTTTGTTTTATTTATTGTTTATGAACAGTTGATTGTTTGACCACCACAGCAATGGGTTAATGAGGGCGTCACTTGTTACGCCTTTCGCTTTGGTTATCGCGTGCTAGACGACTTTTCTTTTCGCGCTTTGCGTGCTGCAAATTATGATTAGCTTATTTATAGCGGTTATATTTTGCACACACAAGTTATTTAGCTTAGGAAAATAAGCATAATTAAGTTCTAATGAACCTAAATTAAGAAAAATAGTCTATTTCTCATTTATTCTTCCATACTATATAAGATTATGCTCATAATAAATATTATATACATAAGTTTAAGAGTAAAGTAACTATTTCGTATCTTAGCTTGGTTCATATATTTAATTTTAAATAGCCGTTTTTAAGTAATTTGCGAGTCTTTTTCAATATAACAGTTCTAACTGTAATATACAAATTTTTCATACAACTCAAATGTATCGACATTATTTTATATATCGAAAATATCCACGGGCAAATAATTCGGAATATCGATATATTGAAATAATATCTCATGCTTAAAACATCGCTTAGTTTGCGATTAATCGATAAGTGTAAGTATCAACAGTCCCCACTTCCTTGCCGAAGGACAACAGAAATAGTCGGCAGACACATACAATTTTCATTTTTGTGTCGCTGCTAAAGCACAGACACAATTTCAATCCAATTGGACAACTAGCAATAACCGTTAGTGTTTCAAAGATGCTTTGGTGGCGCCATTCCAAATAGATGCAGATGCCGCTGCACTCGAAGCACTGTACATAGCCGAAAAATGAACAATTTGGTGAGTGTGTGTACTCTGTGTATTTGTACATTGGTTGGGTGGGATGTGGGTGGGGGTGTGTAGGTTTTGGCCTGCATGTATACGATTGTCCCTGTCTGTGTGTTAAAACTAAATGTGTTTGTTTTTGTGTTTGCGCTTGCGTTTGTGTGGATACTTGAAACCTGATTGCAGGAGCACGTAAAGCACTTTTATCCAGAAAATTATAAATTGGATCTCTCGGAGACAATGAAGGCGGCACTATCCAAAGGCCCAGTGGGCGCGGGCGTGGTCAATGCAGTAAGCAACAACAACAGTAGCAGCAGCAGCAGCAGCAACATAACCAGCTCAATGGGCGGACCAACACACAGCGATATGTTACAACAACAGCCAAACGCCGGCGTTGGCTATGTCACCGAGAAGCTCTATATGCTGTTGCAGCTTTATCTACAAAACAAGGGCTGGAACCCAAGCGCCGAACTGTTGCAATGTTTCAGTGATCTGAAAGACAATGCCATGCTGCCCAGTGCTGCCTACTTACAGTAAGTATAATAAGTTAGCTCTCTATTCCAATCAACTCTATGTTTTCCTGCACAGAGTCTTGGCAAATAGACTTACTCTGGATTCGCAGGGTCGACTCATACTGCGCGACAATGGAAAGATTGTACTGCCCTTCGAACATTTCGCCAATGCGGTCATGTTGAAGCATATGTCAGGACCGCATGGCTTGCATCTCAGTGTGGACGCCACGGTGCGTGCTGTGATTGAATCATACACTATTGGACGCGATCAGTTTGGCATGGAGAAGGAGTTTATCATTGAGGTGGTCCAATCATGCCCCAGTCCGGCCTGTCGCTATTATAAGAATCATATGGGTATATCCCCTATGCCCTTTATGGAACAACAATATCCTGGCGTTAATACGCCTGACTTTTTGCAGCGCCTCTCGCATCTGCCACCGAGCGCTGCCGCAGGAAGCAGCGCTGCAGTGAGCTCAGCGGCTGCCAGCGCTGCAAGTGGCGTACCCAGTGGAGCAAACAATGCTGCGCCTGTTGAGATTGATTTGTCCAAATCGAGTAGTTCCAAGGTGCCACCACAGTTACAGCACTTAACTAAACAACAGCAAAGTAGCATACAGTCGCAGTTATCGCAAATAAGTGCAGCTGCTGCCGTCGCACATCATCAGCAGCATCAGCAACAGCAACAGCAACAACAGCAGCAACAGCAGCAACAACAGCAGCAGCAACAACAGCAACAACAGGCTCAGGCTCAAGCGCAAGCAAAACATCAGCAACAACTGACAGCCGCATTGATTCAACAGCAGAATCGTGTGCTCGCCCAGCAGAGCTTGGAGAAGCTTGGTAATTTAAGTGCTTTGGAGAAACAACGTGTATTCGCTCAGCTAGATCCCAAGCATTTTGATCCAATGGCTGTTGCAGCAGCAGCTGCCAATTTACAAATTCAAGGCATGATGCAGTCACAAGCTGTGGCTGCAGCTGTTGCCTCTAATCAGCAGCAGCCCACGCCGTTAACTACAACCAACTCCTCGGCAACAGTTGGTTCTAACATTGGAGCACAGGTGCATCATACACACCATTCCTTGCCGCCGCCTTCGCAATCGCCGCACTCTTCGTCATCATCATCCTCGCACTCCTCCATGGATCAGTTTACGCATAAGAATATTTCTGATTCCTTGCGGTGAGCTTTTGTAATTTTGGTATTCATTATTTGCATTGATTTTATTGTAAATTCTCCCTTTTAGATCTAATTTGGACTCAATTGAATCGAATAAAGATCTGTTGGCATTGCACAATGGTGCCTGGGCCAGTCACGATGCCAATCGCATTGATCACATGGCCATTGGCCAGGACAAGATTGTGCGCATATTTTCAGAGCTAATGCGGAACATGTCACGCATGAAAACATACATACGACCCTCCATGTGCAAGCCTTATGGCAAGCAAAGCGAGAGTCTGCAGAAGAGTAAGTGAATCTAATCAACTGTCTAGCTGTTTAACTAAAGTATTTGTTAATCATCAACAGCTCTCATGGACACCATACAAATTGTGCAGACGCTGCGTAATTGCTTACCGGCACCCCACATTCCTGTTTCGTCCTGGAAGAGCGAAAGCGAGGGTAGTGTCGGTGTGGGCGTAGGCGTAGGCGTGCCTCAAGGCTTGGGTATGAATACACTTGGCTTGCAATCCAACCGTACGGATAATCTGCATTGAATCGGGTTGGAAAACTCACAGTTGAATCAAAAGCAAATTACATTAGGTAATCTTTTAATATTCCTGCGATTCCGAGCATCAATACAGTATTTATATAGAATAGAATATCATCTTTATAGGCTTGGCTCATGGTTTTCCAATTACCTATTATGTGCCATGTTTAACACAAGACTTGATTTCATTTCAATATTTGACTGATATTTTATAACACAATGACACTAGCAGAAGATTGTGTGTCTCCCTCCTTTCAGCTAGTGTCATTATGTCATTAGATTTATGCGCTTAAGTCCGGCTAGAGTCTTAGATTAAGCTGCAGTCCCTTGAGCTATCCATACTTATAAGATTTCGTTATTTTCTTTATTAATTTGATTCTATTCATTTTTGATTTGGCATAACCAAAATTGACGAAGCATATTGATTGAATTGGCAAAAAGTCTGTGATATTTAAATTATGTTTAAAGAAGCACATTAACAAAACAAAAAAACCTAAATTTAATTAATTTTTAATTGTTGGCCCTTTGTTGTGTAAACTACAATTTACTTTGTGCAATATTACAAGGTGTCTAACTATTTATTCTTAATCAATTATGTGCAATTGACAACTTTTCACTCATATCAGCAGCGCGCATAGCATGAAAACGACTCAATAATATAAAGAAGGCAGGCATCCAGCCTTTACTACATAATAATAATAAAATGTAATACATATTAAGTATACACGTATTAAGAAACATACATACAATTATTTAAGATATTTTGCTAGATTGTGTCGTCGGCGGTTGTCACGTAGAAAACTTATAGAACAGAGTGGAGTTGTATTACTTTATAAGCAGCAAGTGGGTTGTAATTCGACTACATACATTCATACTCATAAGCTAATAATATATTTTATTCCATGCTCATACATTGAAATAACCAATTCTTATAAAACATACAGTATTAACCAGAAATAAAGACACTTGTAAACCTTAAATATTTGCCTAGCTAAAATAAATATATTTAAATAAATAATACAATAACGATTGAACTTTACCTGTGCAATCCAATCAAATATATGCATTCTATTCCTAGTTATTGTACGTTAGTAGAATTTTAAATCACGCGCTGGTTTGATCGTTTAGTTGGCAACGCTGACATAACCATTGTTGCTTTTAATAAGAAGCATCGATAGTTACATAATTTATGAGTTGAGAAATATCGAACTCATAATTATTAATCGATATATGCAATCGATATCAACTTCCCTACCGTCTGTGCTTGTGCACTGCGTTTTTCGTTGATAATTTTTTAAAATTAAGTTTTAACGTATTTATTTAGTAATTTATTCGTTTAAAATAGTTGCAAGGTGCCCAACATATATTCAGCAACGTTATGCTTTTTATTTGGTGTACTTTTTTGCGCGCATTTAGTGTGAAAATGTGAAAAACATTGCCGATGGTATTGGTAATTGGAGAACGTTTTTTCTATTATTTTATCTCCTCCTCTTCCGCTTCGTTTTGTGTCGTGCTACGCTGTTTGGCTCTTTGTGCTCCTGCTCGCTCTAATCATATGCCTGCCAATTGTGAATATGTGTAAAAGTAAATAGCAAAAAACATGAAGCATTTCTAAAAACAAATTGCGATTTTAACACATGGAGGGCTTCAAAAAATTAATTGTTGAGTTTCCAGCAACATGAAAATGATAGCAGACGCTCCCCCAATACGGTGCCGAGCTGGCATATTTTTGTACGTGACGCCGTCAGTTTGTACGATAATCAACGGCCGCGCAC